CTTGTTTCTCTCTCTACAAGCACTGCCTGCTAAAACAGATAGCTTCCGATTTGACTGAACTCAAGGTTACAGCCACGCAAACCCCAGCGCTCTGTACTCCCTTTTCTTTATCTAAATGGGACTGTTCTGAGCCATTGTCTCTGTGTTATGTTTGAACTAATACAGACAAGAACATTAAGTGAGATTCCATGAGCTAGTTAAAGAAATCTCTTCCCTGAAATGAAAACCCGGCACAGCATGTAAGGGAGGCCCACACAATACAGTCCGCCTTGTTTTTTCTCCCCCTCGGACATAAATTTTCCTGTTACACCAGTCATCTCACAACAATGCATGTCCAAGCCATGCTGTGATTAGAGGGGAGAATATGCTTATTACCCACGTTCTTCACATGTTGGAGCATGGAGAGACCAAGGGTGGTAAACCAAAGGAAATTTCCATTTGCTCTTTAGCTGCTGCATTCTTACTCTATAGGGAAGTTAGCTGTTATTAAGTAATAATGCTCAGCTGAAGTTGGTCACTCATAACAACAGACAGATGTATAATGTTTTATTTGGGTTAGCCAGCTCTCTCACAAATAAAGGGCCTGAAATTAAACTGTCTTTACGAAAATATTCAGCAAATGATACCTCTGACTTATTCCAGTGCTCAGATTCTTTGCCATGGAAAATGGAAAATGAGTCCCCTGTTGAACCCAGTATCTGTTTGAACTTGTCTCTGCTGAGTAGAGAAAGGCTGATGTTCTATGGAATGAAAAAAATTTTAAAAAGAATCTATATTCAGGAGTAAAGGGTATAGCCTTGCAAACCACATGTAGAGATGGAAAGGGATTTTTTTAGTACTTACGGAATTCAAAACAATAATAATGGAATGGAAACAGGAAAAAGTCTACATATTTGGCCACAGAGGCAAATTGGGTCATTAGATGCTCACATGCAATGCAAGATATGGGATTTGTCTTTAAAGAGTGCTTGTTGCTTTTCCAATGTGTCATGGGGTGAAAGAAAGACCTGGCCAATTCACGAAGCCATTACTGGCCAGCTAGACACATACTCCTTTGGGGAGCTTGGGTTCTTTTCAAGACTCGGGCTCTTAGGCAGCATCCACAGAGATTTTTATTCAGTAGCTCAAGTGTGGAACCCAAGCATTGGCCTAACAAATGAGCTTGCAGGTGAAGCTGCTTCTGTGGTTGAGGGCAGCCTGCGCCAGGCTGCTGTGTCTTCAGCAACCAATGAGATGGATTGCTCATTTCAAAAAGTTTCTCATGGCAACAGAGAGTGCATCTGCCCATCTCATGGACTAAGGAATACAAAGCCTTGCTTCCAGCCCTAACCCCACCACAGACTCAGTGACCTTAAACAAATCATTCAACCGTTTCAGCCTCTTTTTCACAGATATAAAGTGCAGAGTTCAGGCCAAGTTGGCACTGTGCAAAGTGTTCTCAAATGTCAAGTAAATGCCAGATACAATCAAGTAGGACTTCTCGGACCCCGTAATATACAAACGTCTGGTGTGAGTCTCCAAGGGCACAGAGAGTGGGGTGTTTGAAGGGTAGTTGTGTGGGTCTGTAAGCCCCTCAGGAGCTTACAGGAGTAATATGAAATCTGCCCCCCATACCTGAAGGGTGGGGAGAGACCAATGAAAGAGGCAGGCCACTCCAGGTTAGTGGATGGCAGGTTTAATAGGCAAGGGAACTAATATCTGAGCTTCGTCCCAAGTGGCAAGACAAGTAGATTGCCACACAAGTAGATTGCCACACCCACACACCCAATCCTAAAAGTTTTATAGAAGCCTTAACTAGGTTCAGTCACGTGTCCTAGGCTCAAAACATCACTATCTTAAGGCTCTGTCCTGAGGCTGTCTCTGGGATCAGGGGAGGCTGGCAGCCCCCCACTCCAAGGACAGGGGAGGGGAGAGGAGCCTCTAACTTCCCAGGTCCAGTCATAGGCTGACCAGTGGCCACATCTTCTTGGTGACTGTCCCCTACAGGTAGGTAGGCAGAGCATCCCTAAGTCACCTGATCACAAATCCTTTTATCTGTAGAATGCCTACACCACATGCGGAGGTAAGCTGAACATGAGGGTGGCTTAAACCCTGCAGCTCAGCTTTCTAAGCCTGAGGACCCCAGATCTCTCCTCAGGTCTCCCACATTCTTAACCAACAAACTGTAAAACTACTCTAGGATGATATCCGTCATCCAAAGAAGAAACTTGAAAGCACTTTTCAACCAATTGTTTTTCTTTTTCCAGAAATTCTTATTCTTTTCCCCAAGACAATACACCTGAATTTCTATCCTCGAGGACACTCCTCCTGGCTAACCAAAAAACCCTCTCAGCAGCTACCATATTTGTATATTTAACCCTCTTCCTTCTCACACCAAAGGACCTATTCCTTTGTTGAGACTGTAATGAGTAATGTGACTGAACTTCTAGATAACCCAATTTATGTGCTTGTGTATTTCCCATGTATTCTATATAACTTATTAAGTGCTGAATAGTTTAGATCATGTTCTCAAAGTGTGTTCTCAAGACTATGTTCAACATTCCCTGAAGCCTATTAGAAATGCATAATTCAGGCTCCACTCTATACCTGTGGAATCAGAAGCTCTGGGATGGGGCCAGCCCTGTGCATCTCAAGACCTCCTGATGATTCTGATACTTGCTAAAGTTAGAGAGCTAGCGGCCTAGAGAAAAGAAGCATAGACTATGGACTCGAACAAGCTTGCAGCTGTACCACAGTTTTCTTACCTGGAACACAGGAATAATAGTCATACCTCTTTCAGAATCTATGTGAGAATTAAATTAATATATGGCACTATTGTAAGGTCTAGCACAGGATAAGCCATAAATCAGTTATACCTATTTATTCTATAATGGGCACTGACATGTTCTAGGCAGAAACTTACACTGAATCACAATGTATCATGAGAGATGTCCTTTGTGAGTTAAATTTGATGACGGTTGCATGATGGTTTGATAGGACCACAGCTATGGAGACAGACAGATCTGTTTTGCCTATGAGGTCTTCCATAGATTAACTTTACAAATGGGTGAATTATCTACTCTCCCTAAGCTTAGATTCCTCATTTAAAAAATCATTTAGAAAAATCAAGAAAACACTTTCTTCACCAGATAAGGAGAGAAGGAGTGAGTAAAATATTGTCTATAATTGCTTTGAAAAGCAACTAGTCCCTTTTAAGAATCCCCTTCCCAAACGAAAGCCATCAAGGGTATAAGAGTATGGGCCCCAGCCCTGCCCAGCATGTCTGTTGTTACAGATCATGAAGCCACTATCCTTATCCAACTGCTTCTTGCTCCACAGAATATTACAGTGATAGTTTCTAAGACCCTTGTATCTTTCCTTGAAAAGTTGCCTTATCAAGATAAACTTAAATATTGATTTCGAAGTAACTTAATGAGAAGAATTATTCACCCCATCTATGTTGTCCTTATATGTCAGACACATCTTTCTACTGGAATCTTGTTAGATTTGATTCCTTTTTCTGTTCAATGTTTAGTCACAGACCAATATTCAGAATTTACAATAGGGGTATTTCAAGACTTCACATTTCCTTTAAATACAGTACCTTTTAGGTCAGGCATATAATCCTAAAATACAAAAACATGTAGTAAGGGTATCTCTGTGGTCAGGCTTTCTTGAGATTTTGCCTCAGTAACAAAAAGTCAAAGAATTCAGTGGCTTTAAGGCATCAAGAGTTTTTTCTCAGCCATTTTACAACACAGTTTGATTCACCTGTAGCTCAGCTCCTAGCGTCTCCCTCCTTCCATTCCCCAGAAGAAAGTACAGACCACTCTGAGACTCCCCCAACACCGGGCCTTATGCCCCTGCTCAATGCGGTGCGTGTACCTGTGGCTCACATGCCATTGGCCAGAGCAGTCCCGTGACCAGATCTGACACAAAAGGGTGAAAACACAAGGATCAACTTAGGGAAAGATTCTTTATGTTGGGACCCAGCAGAAAGGGGCAGCAAATAACTGGGAACCTCAAACAATTGTCCACAATAACCAAAAAAGTACCAAAGCCTACCAATTAGACTCCAAGTTCACATCTTCAAAGCCTTGGTCATTAAGATGGAAGAGATCAGGTTGCACAATCTCAGCTGGTGCTTCCTCTCTCAGATCCTTATTAGGCTCACGGAGAAGAATGACCAATTCCTCTGCTTCCCAGAAGCTGTCATTCTTTCCAGCCATCCTCAGTCCTCAACGGCCCGAGGGAAAGAACGGGTTTGCGGAAGGAAAGAGTAACTTCCCCAGCAGATAGGAATCAAAGGGCGACCCTTTGCAAACAGCCAAGAGCCGGCTTTGGCTGCCTTATTCTTTTCCAATAAACATGCCCATTTCTGAGACCACCTGGGCAAAGCCATCCGTGTCCTCCGCTGACATTGAAGGGGTCAATAAAGATTAGGAAGTCAGAACAGCCACTGAAGTGAGTCCTGCACTGCTGTGAAGAGCAGGGAAGAATATAGCACAAGGCCAGAGCCAAAGGTCCCAGTGGCGTGGCCACAGTCACAGGATCCAAAGAAAGGATAGCTAAGCCTCACTGGTTTTATTTTCAATTACGTTTAAGCCTTTTGAGTTCAGTGAACCCCAATTACATTCTGGTCAAGCATTTTTTTTTACTTAATATTTAAACCTGTGTATCCTTAAGGTGAAATTTAATCCAGATATTTTGGACTCATAGCTAAGAGAGAGATCATCAAAAAATTGTTTTGTTAGCAATAGTTCATGTCCAAGAAAGTTTTTTAAGCAACTTTTCTTACAAACAGGAAGCTGTTTTGCTACAGTTTTAAAGTCAGATCCCCTCAACTTCTAATTTTAGCCTGGAAACCCAGTTGTGATTTGATTTGGATTTTATTCCTCACGTCTCACCTCCCCCGCCCCCACCCACCAGGTTTGACAGTCCGTGAAATGACATCACTCGAGGCCTGCTTGAGAATCTCCATGTTTGGGAAGCTGCTGCCTGCCTATTTTCTTTTTATTAGTTATTTTTCTGCAGGTGCAAATACTTTGCTAGCCTACCATGGAACACAGAAGGAAGTTTTTTTCAGATTGGAAAGTTGAAAACTTCCAAAATTTGACTCATCCAGAGCTCTCAGTTTTAGAAGTTCTCGGTGTTGTACTAAAAGGAGGAAAAACATCATTCTTTAGCACTTTAAAAAATTAATACTTAGCATTGGCCCACAGCGTAGTTGTCTTTCATCTATAGATTGGCTGTTTCTGAAAACCAGTAAACAAATGTTTGTAATGTCTATGTGCAATCGTGCTGTTGCAGAATGCAGGAGTCGTGAGGGAGGTGTCTCCATCAAGGGGCGTTCTGACAGCACTCAGCCTGTGTGTCCTAGGGCCCCGGCTCACAGCGTTTGTTCCTGGGGCAGCAGCACCTGGGAACTTGTTAGACATGCAAATTCTTGGGCTCCACCCCAAACCTGCTGGATCAGAAACTCAGCCTTCTGGGTGCTCTAGGGCCTTTGTCAGGGTGGTGGAGAGCCTGGGCACAGGAACCTCAGAGGGCCCAGCGGTCACAGGCTGCTGGAAATTTCAGTGAGTCACTCACCTCTGTGTGCCTCAGTTTCTCCCTCATGGGGACAATAAAGTTTCTTGCCTCTCAGGGCTGGTATGAGGGTTAAGTTCACACATAGAAAGCACACGGCACTGCAGTATTATCTATGATGATGATTATTGTTACTATTCACCTGAAGCCTCATTATTATTACTTATCTGAGTATTGTATTATTGCCGTCGTTATTATTTATCTGCATCGTTCCTATCTTGGACCACTTCTGGCTCTATTCTGCTTGCTTATTATTTGTGTAAATATTCCTTCTAGTGGGTCCGTGGCTTTCTGGCTGTTTATGGAACTGATTTCTGTGTGACCGGACAGTGTGTTCCAGTCACTGTGGTTGAGTTCTTTGATCACCCATTCTTTGGAGAGCCCTGTGCTTTGAAAGAACTTTTTCCTCCCTGAGGATGGTGATGGGAATGTCCTTTCTATTTTTTTCCCCATTCTTCATTGTTTTGTCCCCAAGTCTGGATATATAGGTTTTCATGTAGTTAAATACCTTTTTCAATGTGCTACTGTTTAGTTCTGTTTCAGAACGTGTTTTTCTTTCCTTTATCTCCAGAAAACAAAGGCTTGAAGTAGAAGTTTTTGGCTTGAAGTAGCCCGAGTAACATTAACCTCTCCATCCGATAGTTTCAAGGACCTCACTTCAAAAAGACATCACGCTTCTGAGAATCACAAAGCCAACTCGCAAGTTGGAACAGTGTAATGACAACTGGCGAAATAAATGCAATTTCTAGAGACTTCAGAAAAAGTAATAGTTTGGATGGACTATTGCTTACCTGGGGGATTCATAGAGGAGAATCTTCTATCATCCTTTCCATACTTAACTTGGGAAAGCGTCCCTGTCCTTTGACACTTAAGTGGTCAAGCCAGGAAGATTACAGAATCACTAAGGAAAAAAACCTGAGGTGGTAACATAAAATTACATGAAATGAGAGTTTATGTCAACAATGAAGTACATTTCACGACAGAAGTAAAATACTGTAAATTAAGAGCATATCACGACATGTAAATGATAAAGTGCTCAGGTGAGATAGGTGGCTGCAAAGAGGGATGCTGGATCTTCATAAAGCCACGATGCAGAGGCTATTTGCCCAACACGCTGTGGGCGCACAGGGAGAAAAGAGTGTGTAAGAGGCTCTCTAGGATGACACCTGCGACTACTTAAGCAGTAAAAGAGTAATTATTGCAATAATTTACGATCGTTGGTGGGTCAGAAAAGAAGTATGAAGGCTATGCATGCCGCTGTGTGTTAAGACAGGTAAAAATGTGGGAGATACATATATATAAACACAAAGCTTAGGAAGGAGTGTTTTAGAAAAGTAGGATGCAAAAGCTCCCCTTGAATTTAGAACAGATCACATTAGCCTTTGGAGGTTTAAAAGGGGTTTGTGGTGTGCTGATAAGAACTCAGTCTGGCTTCCAAAGTCCTCGGGCCTCGCTCCTTCAGCCATGAAGCATCTCACGGTGGAGGCGGTTCACCCTGACTGCCCAGGTTCCGGGCGCCTCATTTGAGAAATGTGTGTCGGGCGCCTTGGTTGTGACAGTCTTTTCAACTCTGATGTCCTATGACTCAACAGTAATAATGCATTTCCACAGGCGGTAAAAATATTCTAGACTCTTCCCTTCCAATTCCCACTGTTTACTTCCTCTGCACTTCCCCTTCCTGCCTCCCTGTTAGCTGGTCAGTTGATAGTGGGCCTCAATGGGGGTGAGTTAACCCACTCTTTCCAGGGCGTTTTACTATTAAGCTCCCCCCAGGGAGTGGGGATCCTGTCGCTAGGACTGCAGTTGGGGCTTCAAAATAATTTGAAAACACTCTTTGAGTCTTTATCCTATTCTGGGCCCCATGCCAGAGGACCAAGGATTGGAAGGTGAATGCTAGGGCCCTGGCCCTCGGGGAATCGCCAAGGTCAGTTTCATTGGATAAGGTTTCCGAGTAAACACCTGTGATCTCTGCGTGTCCCTTTTTCTTTCAGGTAGTCGCAGAATCCCGTGGTAGCCAGGTGGGTGAGGGGAGCAAGAACATTCCACCTGCCTTGAAGAGACGCCTTCCCAGCTGCTGAGTGAGTGCCCAGGTAATACACCGTCTGAGGGCATAGGGTGTGGAGAGGGAGGGAGAAGGCATTTACCCTCTGAGTGCTGCCGGCCAGATACTCTTTTCTGTGGGGTGATGCTAAACCCAAGATCACCCCCCAGAGGCTCTAGGTCCTGTTCCCCTATTGATGACCACCAACTTCTGATAGCTACTGGTGTCGTTAACACCAACACTAGATGTACAGAAATGCAGAAGAAGAACTTTCAGAAGAAAGGAAAAGATTCAGTTCATCGCAAGTCTGGCCTGTTGCCCCTTTGAAAGAAGCTAAAACAGAAGCTTCATGGCACTGCCTTCATATAAACAGAGCCAGGTTTTCCAGAATCTGGCAGACAGCCGAGCTTGGAGCGTCACTTGTGCCCGCAGGACATTTGTGTATCACTCACACTCGAAAACTTAAGCCTCTGTTTTTATTTTCGTGGATTGAATGGCATACACTTTCCCTTGGCAGTTTCTTTTTTTTAAAAAGTGCATGCAATTACTTGTACATAGCTGCATTTGTCTTGGGAAGCGCTCACGTCCTGAGCTGACTGCACTTGGGCATGCCAGTGCAGTGTTTTGTTTCCAAAGTTTCATTGTAATTGCTTTCCTCTTAGTTACTGAGAAGTGCTGCTGAGGGTCTGGTAAAGCCCATGCTCATCAGTAATATCCTGTCCTTTTCTTCTAAAGGGATCACAAAATACATGGCATAGGCTTCATTGAGGATAATCAATTCTGAATAACTTACAGCCCTTCTTTGCAGTGAAATGGAAAGTGACTTTCACTTCCAAGAAAAATCATCATTTCAAGGGGCATACAGTAAATGACACACTCTTTATAATGTGGCAGGAAAATTCAAAAGGTGATCAGCTCCACTGCACCCTCAACAAAGGTCTTCCTCTGCCAGACACAGTTTCAGTTTTCTTGAAGGGATTTGCCCAGATGATTATTTTCAAAACTTCTCTTCAGATAATGCAGCTCTAGCAGCAAAGATTATTTCATCAATCACATACCACTATATACCAGTTCCTTTCTGAAGGGGGAAATTTTCTTTTGTCCTGGAAAATAACAATGAGTGGAAAAAAACATGCTAAACAGGTAGAGTTACCCTGTAATCACTCATTATCTTTTTCAAGGCATGCAGGGGCCATTTATCTCAGTGAGCAGGCAGGCACTGTGAGATGCTGTGTGGTCACACCCAGCCCGTGCCTGTCACTACAGGGCACAGAGTTCCCTGGGGCTTGGTATGGGAGCCTAACCTCCTTCCAGGTAGGTCTGTTCTGCTAAGGTGTTGGATGCCTGTGCCTATTTTTTTGTTCATTAGCATTTTCAAATAGATTCCTATACTGGTTGTACTCATTTCTAAAGAAGGAAGGTCGAATTGTGCCATACCTGAAGTCATACTTGATAGGGTATACTGACAGCACTCAAGCTATTAATAAAGCTTCATTATGCATTATATGTTTGCTGTTGGTTGCTTGATAACTTGGTCTTTTCCAGTGTAACCAAGAACTAGGCAAGGTCATGGATTCTAAATTAGTCATTGAATGGGGGGTGGGAATGAGTTGCTATTACAGAGGATGTCATGCAAAAGTTAGGGTTTTTTAACTGTAATTGCCACTACCCAGGTTTTAAAAATTTGTATTCCTCATTGCTATATCTAGAACTATCTAATGGATGGTATATTTTAGTTATAGCAGTATTGACCCTACAGTCAGTCAACTTGCTTTCACATTTTCTGTAATTGGAAATCTATGACAGCTCAATATACAAATGTTATAATACTCTGTGGGGTAGGTACATGTGAGTGCAATATCACAGAGAGAATGTTAGCATCGTTTTTTGTTTTTTTTTAATGTGAGCCTGCTTTGGCACTTTCTAGCCATTATCTCAAAAACCCTGAGAAGTGGACTTTATTCCCATTTTACAGATCAGAAGGCTGAAGTCCAGAGAGGTTAAATAGCTTGCTCCAGATCACACAGTAAAAAAACTGGAGAGTGAGGATTTAAGTCAAGTTTGCGTGTCTCCAGAGGCCCAACTGCTTTTGTCAAGTACCAGTTGATTAGTCTTGCCTTCAGAGTTCTCCTTTCTTATTACATCCATATACATTCATGCTTATTTTACATGAGGATCTATTTCTATTTCCTGGAAGTCCTACCACCTGGGACAGTGACGGAACACTTCTGTCTGTCATCTCCTTAGGTGGTCCCCGGAGCTTGACCATGGACGCCGCTCACACGGGCATGTCCAGTGCACCCCTGGTCAGGCATACTGCTGCAGCTGGGCTCAAGGCCAGCAGACCCCGAGTCATGTCCAAGAGTGGGCACAGCAATGTGAGAATTGACAAAGTAGATGGTATATACTTACTCTACCTGCAAGACTTGTGGACGACCGTCATCGACATGAAGTGGAGATACAAGCTCACCCTATTTGCCGCCACATTTGTGATGACCTGGTTCCTTTTTGGAGTGGTCTACTATGCCATTGCATTTATCCATGGGGACTTAGAACTGAGTGAACGCATTTCAAATCACACCCCCTGCATCATGAAAGTGGACTCTCTCACGGGGGCCTTTCTCTTTTCCCTGGAATCCCAGACAACCATTGGCTACGGAGTCCGTTCCATCACGGAGGAATGCCCTCATGCCATTTTCCTGTTGGTTGCTCAGCTGGTCATCACAACCTTGATTGAGATCTTCATCACAGGCACCTTCCTGGCCAAAATCGCAAGACCTAAAAAGCGGGCAGAGACCATCAAGTTCAGCCACTGTGCTGTCATCACCAAGCAGAATGGGAAGCTGTGCTTGGTGATCCAGGTGGCCAACATGAGGAAGAGCCTCCTGATTCAGTGCCAGCTCTCCGGCAAGCTCCTCCAGACCCACATCACCAAGGAGGGGGAGCGCATCCTCCTCAACCAAGCCACCGTCAAATTCCACGTGGACTCCTCTTCAGAGAGCCCCTTCCTCATTTTGCCTATGACCTTCTACCACGTGCTGGATGAGACAAGCCCCCTGAGAGATCTCACACCCCAAACCCTGAAGGAGAAGGAGTTTGAACTCGTGGTCCTCCTCAATGCCACCGTGGAATCGACCAGCGCCGTCTGCCAGAGCCGCACATCTTATATTCCAGAGGAGATCTACTGGGGCTTTGAGTTTGTGCCTGTGGTTTCACTCTCAAAACACGGAAAGTATGTGGCTGATTTCAGTCAGTTTGAACAGATCCGGAAGAGCCCAGATTGCACCTTTTACTGTGCAGATTCTGAGAAACAGAAACTTGAGGAGAAGTACAGGCAGGAGGATCAGAGGGAAAGAGAACTGAGAAGTCTTTTGTTACAACAGAGCAACGTCTGATGGCAGACGTGTCGCCCAGGTTAACCCTTACATCATTACTTTAAAACACACCCACTTCTTTCAAGCAGAGAAAATGTTATATATAATGGAGGCTATCTCATAATACCTAAAAGGGGGGAGGGGGGTCTCTGTATTCACAAAATACAATCATTCTGTTTTTACCTTTTTTCGGGGGATTTAGTTGTACAGAGTGAAACTGATCAAATCAGGAATGAACAGTTATAAGAACATATGCAAATGGAGCTGATGCTATTGTTCACACTAATTTTTTTATGCTAGAATGTACTAGAATAGAGTGTCCTTTCTATTCAAAGTGTGGCTTCCAGACCAGCAGTATCAGCACCATCGAGTTGATTCATAGCGATGCAGACCCTCAGGCACCACCTGGGCTTCCAAAATCAGAGTCTGTGTCTTAACAAGACCCCCAAGCGATTCATGTACAAATCAAAGTTTGAAAACTCCACTCCACACAATGTTTTCAAAATAACTTTCTGAAGCCCCAGGACCCTGTGGGTCCCACATCCACATGGCCTCCAGTCCTGAACTTCTTTCTTCCATTTGCTATATCGGGCCAATATTCCTTTTAGCTATTTCATTCCTTATCTATTAAAATACCTTGTCCACAAGGAACTGCTCACTAACAGCCCAAGAGCAAAATAAAACTATTGAGAATGATGGCTGTCACACGCATACTGAGTATATGCTCACTGATTACAGTCAGCACAGAAGAAAAATTAAGCTGCGTTACAGAAATGTGCTCGGATGTTGACATCTACGAGGTTGAATGGGGCCATGAGGAACAAGAGGAGCTTGGGATAAGGAATTCATACACACATGACTCCCTGAAACACAAACAACACTCGGTGATCTGATAACAGGCATAGGACGACCTCACTATTTAAATAAATCTTATACAACTGAGTGTTACAGGGGTAACATTTTGCCTTTGGCAGAATTTAGAGGCCAAGGGCCCTGCATTTCTTTGGGGTGGGGAATAAATGGGCTAGGGTTGCCTCAGGTGCAACAGGTAAATTCTCATTTCATTCCAACCAGGATAGATTTGCATATTCACACAAGAAGAATGACTGTAAGTGTGGAGGTGCTGCATGGACATACACGTGAGCACACGACGTATGTGCACACAGGCACATACACACATATACATGTGCACAGACATGCACATGCTGGTTCTTCAAGCGTAATTGCAGAAATTATCGATGAAAGACATTTGTAAGTAAGAGAGCCAATCCTCAACCAATATGTTCCCCTGTATTTTGTTCTACAAGAATGGGAAAACTGGGACTCAGAGAAAATGGGGAAAGTAATCTGGATTCAGATTATCAGGGAAATGATAATACAGATTACATTAAATCTGGTCATCTCTTGATGTTACCACACTTTTGAGTGTCCTTTCATGAAAGAGAAAATGCAGCTAAAATGACCTGGAATTGTCATCTAATTGACATCTAATACAGGTGTTAAGAATAACACAGGCCAAGTTGTAAAGATTTAAAGAACAATCTCAAAACACAAAAGGGTTTTGTCGTTAATTATTCAGGAATTTTTTCTTATTCTGATGCTAATTTCATGGCAGATTGTTTTAGATCTTCATTCTCTTAAAAAATTGTGTGAGCTTAGTTATTAGCTCTTAGTTTTGCAATATTTATTGTATATTGTGGTATGATCGACAGGATAATAATGCCACAGATATGTTTACAGCTTTTCTGTTGCACTATTAAATTCTTTTCACAGTATTTACACCAGTGCTAATTTGAATGTGATCAAGATTAGGAATTGTTCATAGGTACACAGTGTGTGGTACAATGATATAGCATAAAACTGAGAAATCTTCTTGTATGTTCACTTAGCATATGTATTTCGGTCATACTTGGAAGACTTAATCATCTGATCTTTACCACTACACACAAAATAAACATATAGTGTCTTAAGAACCAATATTTGTACAAGTTGATAAGTCACATTATAACATAATATTCAATAAATAGCTCTGAAGTTGCATCTGGTTTGAAACCTAGCATTTTCCAGGCATGCTAATTTATTAAAACTGTATACAAAATGCCCTCATGTTAACATGCTAACAAAGGATTCATGGGATAAACTTACTTGATTATATCTGGACAGCCTTCTGTTTGAAACAGATCCATGCCCAGCTCCCACTGAGAAGTAGTCAAACTAATGGAGTGTTTCTGACCCAAAACGCCTTTTGCATTTTGAAACATTTCCAATGCATCAGACTTTCTCAGTAAGACCATTCGAAAATGTCTTGTTCCATTTGAGAAACCACAAAGTAAACAGCAGAAAATCAGTGTAACCTGCAAACCGGGTCCTATTTCAGTAACAAAATATATTGCACTTACATGGTACCTAGTAGCCAGTGACCTCAGGCAGCATAGCAAAGATTTACCCATGGATCCTCACAAAAAGCCACTTTGGGTGGAGGCACATATTGATTCCCTTTCCCACTCGTGGGGAAATGACTGTGCAGAGATGAGACTCCAGAAATCTAAAACAGAAACAAAAACTGGTTAAAAATAAAAAGTGTCATGAATGAGTGGACCAGATATTTAGACTAATTTAAATAATGCTTTTTTTTCCCTTTGGATTCAATTTTCAGGTTTAATTGACTGTGATCTCAATACCGTTGGAACATAAATTAAAATTTTTAAAAAGGTGACCTTTCTCCTCCAGTGTGAGTCTTTCTTCCTCACTTGGATCCTCAGTATTCATTTGTCATCTGGTGAAAAAGAAAAAGAGAACAGCCAAGCCAAGCCGGCCCCATCCCTTTGCACTGGTGGCTCGGTAAAGGGTCATCCCATCCTTGGGCTCTGGGCTATATCTTGTCACTGTGGTCAAATGGTCAGACACTTGACCATGTGGAATAATGAGACCTCCAGTCTTCTCAGTCTTGGCTCTCAGCCTTGCTAGATTTTTCTTTGCCTGCTAAACATTTGAAACATCTAGTTTTGAAGAGAGGTTATTTTATCATAGCTTTCTGGGATTGAATTTTTTTTAATGCAAATTTTAAAATTGGTATTTCAAGACTTCATTTCCAAATTCTACAGTGTGCACTCAAATTCCAGCATTGGACTCTGGATGGGTCCAAGATGCACTTAATTTTCTTCCCTTGGGAAGACTTACACTCGAAGGCTTAAAGCTTAATATTTCACTTCTCATTAACCACGTACAAGCTTAATATTTCACTTCTCATTAACCACGTACATATGGCCCTGTGAGTTTCCATTCATCTTTAATTAGCATGATGTGCCAACCAATTCTTGGGCTTGTGGACAGCCTTGAGTGGTTTCTGCTCTGAGTGGAGGGCCTTCAGAGCAGAGTTCATCTCCAGAGTTAGAGCCTGCAGTAAAAAGGCATGCTTAGAACTTAATTGGGGTTTTAAAAAATAAAGAAGTTACTTAACTTCCAGAGGCATTAGTATTCGTCAGTAAACTCATTTTTTAATATTGTATTGTTTTGATTTTTTTTGAAAGGAATCTGAAACAAAATCTTTGTCTTCAGAGTAAGGAAGGCAGTGAGAAGAGTGTAAAAAATAAGTTAAAAGTTGATCAATTAGACTGTCACATAAAGAGACCGCTACCAGTGGAAAAGAACTTCATGAGAGAAAAACTGGTCATTCAGTCTTACATTACAACAGACAGTGTCATTATATTCTCCGGGCTTCCCAGAAAAAGCAGTTTTCCTAGGCTTTAAGAAACACTTAAATGGATTAAGTCCAGCATTTTTCCAAAGTTTTTCCACTAAATTCTTAATGAAAAAGAAACACAAGGCAGAAATAAAGCTGCAGCCATTTTACTTTGTTTTCTGCTGCACTCAACTGCCTCTCAACTTGACATGTGCTGGGATGAAAGTCCTTCATTTTTGCTATTTATTCCATCAGATCAAATAATCCTATGGTTAAAAATTACCCATCCAAATGAGTAATGTGTGGACATTGAGATGCCCAAAACATGGGGACAAGAATTTTTATTTTTCAATCAATATGTTGCTGGTGTGTCAAAACAGAAGACCATGAAATAATTGTTGATTGGAGCTGATAGTTAATTCCTAATGAAATTACAAGAATTGATTGTAGGAATCAAAGGACATAACTGATAGATGAGCATAAAAGCCAAAGAAAGATGTCACATATGAAGGTAAAGGCCATGTAACTCTGCATATGATACCAGAGTGAGGGATGGCAGACATGCTGTGTCCGGAGTACATGTATTTAGCGATTTGTGTCCTGCATTCCTGTATGGACTTTATTAACATGCTGTAATGTCCTGTAATCATTTTTTTCAATAAATTACAAAATTGCATAGGCAATTAGAAAACAATTTCAAATTTAACAGGATGTCCTTTATATCTATTTGCTAAACCTGACAACCCTGCAGAAAAGTATTCATGTAATCCCAAACTATACCTATCTCTAGAAAAGCACGTAAGTGTCCCTTCATTTGGAAGCTATGGGTTTTCATTCAACTAGTAGAGGGGAAAGGGGGTATTCCAAAAAGATACTTTCCTGGCTTGCTCAATTAGTAAATTTCACCCAAACACCTTTGATGCATTCTGTATGGTGTGGACCACTGATCTTTGAGACTGTCTATCAAGGAAAGGTCTGGAATGAGGGGCTTACATATGTGTACAGCAGCCCCGATTCCCGCTCTCCTCTTTGAAAGTCAGGCTGATGGTTTTGTATTCCCAACCAGCCAAAGATGGAGTCAACCTAAGAGTCCAACACCAAGGTGTTTAGCAGCTGCCGCCTCATGATTCAGTATTTAACTACGATCTTATCTTGATTCAAGGCCAGTCCTATCCAGCAACCAAGCCTTCCCACCTCCTTATGATATCCAATTTCACCTCTCAAAAATACTCAAGCCAAAGGTCGAACTCACTTGAAATTAGACTCCAAAGAAGCTCCCACAATTGATTAAGAGTACCTATTTTATAAAAAAAACTCTGAGAAGTTAACTGTGAGCTAAGAAATGTAACCCCTTAGCTTAGTATTACTATTATTACTATCGTAAGTGTCCTTAATACTAAGGAAAAATTAAACCTCTTCCAAAGAAGGCAACTGATCAGAGGGGAGTTCAAGGGAATGGTTTGTCTCGTTCTCTGTAAATTAACTATATTCCTTCATCTGTTATCAAATCTTAAGGTGAAGGATGTTGCATGAAATCAAATCATGACAGGAAACATGACTATATTGGGGACTTTTTACAAAAACAAACTTCCAGATCACAAGAGGAAGCTGTGTTTGTGTGCTGACACAGAGTATGAGACAGCAGTCAGGAGAGGAAGGCAGGCTAACAGCCAACTTGGATCTATTTTTGAAGAATTATGTCTGTAGGGTGTCATGGAATTGCAAGTCACAAAAAAGAATGCTTTGGTAAACAGAACTCTGCATCCCAAAGGGACCCAGTCCAAAATACCACTTGGTGAGATTCACGGGAATGTTATGGCAATCAAGATCCCAAATGACATGCATGCTTTACAAGTGAACAACCCCACTTCTTGTAAATCCTGGCAATGTGCACTCACCTAAATCTTGATCACACCTCGGTCTCTTGCTATATATAGCACTACATCCGACCATCTCCCAGGACACAAGATGAATTTCCCTGCTTCCTTCAGATTTTTAAGCTAGTCTTATGCTTGGACTTGCTTTAGCAGAATAGTGACTCGAGTTTCTCAAGGTTGAACTACTGTTTGATGCATGCTGGAAATCTCACACTAATGTGTATATCAGTTACATCAGGTTCTCAGTGATGTCCCCGCTGAGCCCAGTCACAGCCTGACCATTCAGGTGGAAATGTGGACTTGTAAGTTCTACAGATCCATACCTCGCTCTGCCAAGCCACTTGTTCTCATATGCACCTCTATCACCTTTTCCTTTTTATACATGGAATCACTCTGATCTGTGAAACAGTAGTTAATACAATAAAGCTAATTTTATTCCTGACTTTCTTTTAATTTCTTTGCAGTGGTAATAGTGCTACACTGCTGCCCTGATGGAGGGGGAAATCTAGTATTTCCCTAGAGAGTTCAGAGGCTGTTTCCGATGATGGTAACTACAACAATTTTGGGAGGCTAGGTCCTAAAAACTTGATAAAATGTCATTTTCTATCAGTGCCTAAAACAATGCATTGTGCTTCCTTCCTCCGCATTTCCTTAATCAAAGAAAAGAAAATGAAATTCCTGCCTAATCTCTTTTGCCTTGATACTCTATTGATCATTTCATTTAGTTAATTATTAAAAATCAGGTAACTTTTTAGCAGTTTCTTTTCCACACCTCACCCCTTATCAAAGTCCTTACTTTCCATTGCTCTTTTCCTCTGATGGATTAGAAGAATGAAAACACATAATTACATAGCCTTTAATGTACCAATATGGATGTGCCTGTAAAGCAGCACGACTATTTAAAATCCACAGGGCAGTGATAGATGCCCAAGGAGTAGCTGTTATCCTCAAAGCACTTTCATGGGGAAACCATGCCACATACAACAAAGTAGCTGCCACAGCTCCAAACCGTCCACAGGTGTCTCTGGTGGAAACTTCTCTTTTGGAATCTTGGCTCATTCATTGCAACATTCTCAATGGTGGCAAGCCTCTGTTCTCTGAGGGAGAATATGACAGTTGGAAATTAAAAAGTCTGATTCATATTATAGGAAGTCAGATTTGAGGATGTTTGGGCAAATAAAGAAAAAAAAAACACTTTCCAGAAAGTACACAGTAATCTAGAACACACTAATGAGCTTGTCAGCAGGACACATTTTATTAATTTTAATGTGCATGGAATTTCTGATACATATTATTTTCTACCCCATTATTTCAAGCATCTGCTTGCCTTTGTGGGGTAACCTTGGCTGAGAACTGAGCTATCCATGTCCAAAACATAAGACAGCATTGCCTTTGTACACCAGGTCCTTGGGGCAGTGAATGTGGGAACTTGTCACAGCAGCTTGGAAATCTTTGGTTCTGGGCTGGAACTCTCTTCTCAGGAATCTTTTATTTGGTCACCTGCCTTCGAAAATGTCAGGCTAACAAGTGTAATGGTTTAATTTTCCATGTAAAAGTCCACATTCTTCGCAGAAACTCTTACCTTGTAAGAGGTTTTTCTTTTCCAAACTTTGTATTCCTTTACTTGAATTTAACACTTCCATTAGACTGCTTCACACATAGCACATCTGAGCATCCTGAATGCGTTTCCACCAGGCCCAGGGACCACTCTCTGTATCTTTCTTGGTTTGTTTCTATTGAGTCTGTCGGAAGCTCTTACCTGGACAGTACAACTCCTTGTAAACTCTGTTTACATGTGATTTAAAGATGTGCATACGACTTAAAGATCTGCCACGAGTCTATCACAAACCACAGACACATAGACTTACACCAACATGGAACACTGTCTGCTTTTCCTTATTGCCACCACGGATCTGGCCGGCCTGCTACAGGTATTGCATGCTGTGTCAAGTGCTATTACCAGCCCGCCTCATCTGTCCACCCAAGTCACACACACTGCTTCTCATGACTTCTGATCAAACCTTGGATTTGCAGAGAACAAACAACACACACTTGTCAGGTTCTGAACGCTTCAAATGTCAAATATTTAGTAGTCCCTTTTATACCCGCTAGAGGAGGTAGGCTTTGTTTAATCATTTACCCATTACAGGATGAGATCCTACAACTTGATGAGGTTCAGTGTCTCACCCAGTATCACTTGACAAACTGATGCAATGATCTAGGTCTTTCCCTCTGGGTCCAGTGTACATTCCTCTAATTGGAAACATCAGAAACTCATGGTGGAGTTAATTTCTGTATGAGAAAGGTCAAAATTAGTGCTAGAGAAAAAGTGAAGGCAGAGTGGGTCACTCAGGGAAAGCATGAGGCCGAGAGACTGGAAGAACTACATGAAGGCTTGGCATGCCCCAAGGGCTCTGTTATTCAGGGTTGAGCACATGGGGTAAGTATCTAGAAGGTGGAAACTGGCATGAAGCAATCAGTCTGGAAGGAAAAGGCAGGGGGTATGAATGCCATTCTCTGAGATGGGGACTGAATCTGCAACAGTGCTGTTTACCTAAGTAGGAAGGAACAGTAGGCCAAAGACTAGATGTGGGGTGGCCCGGATTAAGAAATCCCAGAGGAAAGTCATAGTAGCTTTTCCTTACATTCAAGTTTCCTTACATTCATTATAATAGCGTCATATTTCCTTAAAACAGGTAGGTATTATTAGATCCCCACTTGACAGATGAGAAAACTGAGGCTCAGGGAAGTTAGGTAACTTTTCCAGAGTTACACAGCTAGTAAGTGACAAAGCGAGAAGAGAAACCGAGGACAGACCCAAGTGAAAGCCTAACTTCCCTCCAGGAGCTCTGGCCTCCCAGTCGGGCCACTGCAAAGTGCGTCTGAAGGAGCCTAGGGGCCATGGAGGTGATGTTCTTGGAGCCAAGCAGCAGTGTTTGCATCCAGTGAAAACAAAAGCATGGTCAAGTTGCTGTCACCACGGACCTGGCCCATGGGTGCTGCATCAATGCTGAAGAGCAGCTATGCAGATAATAAGGGATTTTCCTAGAGTGCTGCCAGCTGCAGATGGGGCTGGACAGTTCCAACTGACTGTTTTGCTGATTTGTAAGGATTTGTACTGAGCTCTTCTACCAACCTAAAAAGATAGGTAGTCACTTTTAGGTCTTGGTTGACTAAGCCGAGAGACAAAGAGAGTGTTGTAGGGATAAGCAAACACTGCAGAATCTGCAGAGCTTGACAGAATCTGATACTGAGCGTATATGGCCTTGTGGGGGCAGGTGAGTGGCCCCGGTGCACCCAGTCACTGCTGTAATAATGACCAGGGCCGGAGCTCAAGCCATCAGGACCCAGACACCAAGACAAGCTAGAAACACAGAGCAAGGGTTCCAGGAAGTCCTCAGAAGCTGACTGCAGAGGGAGGGTCTGACAGACAAGTCCTAATACCAGGGAAGACTGGTCTGAAAATCTCCCTAGTTCATGGGCAGATAGGTAAAGGGAAGGGTGGATAGGGTTGGGCGGGGAGTGTGGTATGAATCCAAATGAATGCTGAGACCAGGGAGTGATGTTTCGAGAGCAGGGGCCCAGACCCATGGCATCCAAGTCAGGGGCAGGACCCTGCTCCCAAGAGGACTCAGTGAAGAAGAGAGGTGAGCTAAAGCCGTGCTTCTGTGGCAAAAACCTCAGCCTGGAACTCAAGCACATGAGGCTACCCAAAACAGGAATGGAACTGGGTAAAATACAGGGGCTTCCTCCCCAGGAAGAAGGATCCGAGGGGCTAGGACCTGGGTGAGGCACCAACTGCCCCAGGCGTCTGCATTTCCCCTGAGTGGCAATCAGAGCTGGCACCCAGAGCTTCTGCCCCAGGGCCCCCCAGGCAGAGGCGCAGGCCTGGAGCCAGCACATCCTCAGGCTTCGGGCAGGCGGCCCCTGGGCAGATAGAGCAGCTCCTTGTTTTGCTTGTTATTTGCCAAACCAAACAATCACCTTATTGCCAAGCCAGGCCTGCCAGGGTCATGGTCAACACATTAATATTGATTTGATAATATTCATAGTACTAAGGGGGTAAAAACAGATGCCATGCTATTTGTATTCCCTTCAAATTGCCTCAAACTGGGTGGTTTACAACAACAGACATTCTCATCTCACAGTTCTGGAGGCAAGAAGTCCAAAGCCATTGTCACAAGGGTGTGCTCCTTGGAAACCTGCAGGGGAGGATTTCCCCAGCCTTGCCCAGCTTCCAGCGCCCACAGGCATGCCATGGTTTGCGGCAGCGTCCTCTGCTCCCTGCCTCTGCGGTCACATGCCCTCCTCCTGTGTCTTCACATCATGTGACTGTCTCTGTGTTCACATATGTCCTCTTCATAAGGACACACATAAACCTGGAAGAGGGACCACTTAATGAGCTCATTTTCACTTGACTGCCTTTGTAAAGAACTTATTTCCAAGTCAGGCCACATTCTAAGGTCCCCAGGAACTAGGACGTCCACGTGTCTTTTTGAGGGGATGCAGTTCAACCTATGACGCAGCTCTTCCCTGGGCATCTCATCACCAGCTCGTCTACCCTCAACTCCCTCTGACTCTTCCCCTTGGAAGAGCGAAGGGCTTCCCCTCAGTGGTGGTAACGGTCCTGAGATCCTGGCTCTCCCAGTCCTGGGAAATGGACAAAGCAGACCTCTAGCAGGGGTCTGTTCACTGTGACTTGAGCAGAGCTGCATGGAAGCCGTGCCAGTGCGCAGGGCAGACACCCCCGAGAGGGGTTTGGTTCTCAGTGTTGACAACCTTCCCTGGAAATTCTCTTCACTGTTTTGCACACAGGAAGACTGACTTTCTAACCCTGGTTTTCAAATAGTCAGAGGTTAGCTGTAGCCTTTTTAAGTTAATCATACACTGGGCTTCCCTCCCAACTGCTGTCACAAAGAGCTTGCTGATTTCCCAAGACTTTTGAAGTACTTGACTTTTAAATGCATTTCATAATTCTGTGTCTATCATTTTTTGGCATTGTAACTCCTACCATAAAGGCTAGGAAAAACCCATTTTTCAACCATGGCATGTTCCATGAAGGCAATTCACAGCTGCGGTATGCCTGGTGGCTCCTCACGCTTGCACTGTTTTGTCACATCAGGTGGCACCCTGTACTGTGGGCACAGTGTACTTGCACATTGTCTTCCTCCCAAACCAGTTCTTCCTCCAACGCCGGAAACCTGAGACCCACTCTTGTTTTCTCCTGCCCCCTCACCACCGGTTTCTAATCCATCAACCAACTCTGTCTGCACCACCCTGGACCACCAGTATCTACTCCATCACTGATCTGTGTCTCTACCACCCCTAAACACCGTATCTACTCCATTGCCAAACCCTGTCTGCACCACCACCAAAGTGGCTCTCAAGCCAGTTTCCTCTCGTCCATTCTAATGCTCCTCCTCTGGCTCAGGCCACCATCAT